TCCTGCCTTGTACATCGTCTTCCCGTAATTTCTTTATGTGAAAACAATGGATTTATCCTGAATAATACAAAATAATGTAAATCCTTGATAAATTCTCTCTGAAATTCATATTTTACTGATCAATTTCACACGACGCTAATACAATTGAATTGACTCCCGTATTAGTGTAATTGTTTAAAACATACGTGTATGTAAGTGAAAATTAGAATCTTCTTTCTTAGCTTCCAAAATTGTAAATATTATTTGAGTGAAGTCCTTGATTTTTAGTTTCTACCAGTATTTGTAGATGTTATATTGCTTCAATTGTACCTACCATCACAGTTTCTTTTTTTACTAAAAGTTTAGCTATAAGTAGGATGGTAAGAAACGCTTAAATTTTTTATACGGTTTTATTGGTTATAAATCTTTGAAGAAATTCTCAGTTTTCTACGTGTGCTGGACGGCTATCAAAATTTTACACCCCATTTGTGCGATTCGCTGGGCATAATATATTTACATCGTATATTGAACAGTTACTAAAAAATTATACACGTTTTCCTGAATATTATTGAACATGTGTTGAATAAATTTTACACCTTACTTTTATTGAAAATATGTGTTTGTCGATAGTAATACGTAGTCTTTTACAACAATTTTGATTGCTGTCAACCAACCTTTGGATTCAAAATAAAACCTATCAATTTGTTGTTTGGATTCCTTCGTAAAAATCTGTCTACACATAGACATTGAGCAAAAATAATAAAAACCCACTTTGTAAACCGTAGAAGCGCAATATTTATACTCCTCGCCTCATATGCGCAACGTGCATATAGAATTGGAAAAAATGCATATAAATTTGCAGAAGGCAGTTTTTACCATTCTAAATTCTTCTGAATTTACATTTTCTTGTAAATTCGATCATATTCTTAACAATTACTACAAAAAATGCCGTTCGAACATCGGTAGGTAAGACAGTACACCTAAAAGTCTGTTTTTACACGGTAGATTGGTTCCAGAAGAAGCCGTGTAAAAAAAAATCGTGTAAAAAAAGACATTGATCTTATACAAAAATGGGTGATTTGTTCCTAATCTCTAAAACCTATTAAATTAGTGAAAAACAAGAATTTTAAACAAGAAATTCATGTTTATTTTATTAAAATCAAATATATAATGCTTATTTTCATAACCATAGTAGTTAATGATAAAAAAGATATGCACTCTAATCTTAAAAGTAATATAAATTAAATGTATGCAAGTTCAGGAACTAAAAAACTATGTCGTGAACGAAAAGAATAGGTTATTACTTAAATCTGACCAGTAAATTTTATTGTATGCACATAAAGGGAATTCCCCTAAATTAGTGCTATTCACATTTGCTTTGACCAGTAAAAATTGTTTGTACGCGCTAAAGGGGAATTCACTTAAATCTTTAAGCTAGTGTTAACAAACTATCGATACTATCGATGGTTTCAGACTTTTTTCTTTCATAAATACTTTTTTGTGATACTTCGCAAAAATTAAATTTGACAAAAAAAAATTAAGTACATAAAATTTCAAATCGTGCTAAATGGAATAAAATCGTGTAAAAAAATTAAAAAATATTCAATTTTCAAACCGTGGTTATATCAAAACCGTGTACAAAAAGACCGTGTAAAAACAGACTTATGTGTATACAATTTTTTTTCGAAAAATAAAAATTGAAAAACAAAATTACATTGAAAAATGTATTGTACTCACATATTAAATTGTCAAATATCTCCCTTCCGCTTTTTTGCTCTTGGTTTATAATACAAAAAGGCGGAAGGGAGATATTTACAACCTATTATTAGGAAATGTCATGAAGTTTGATGACGATTCAATTACGTTTGATATGAAAAATCCCAGTACCGGTAGGAAATAGTGTTAAAAGGAATAGATTATTTTAATTAATGTTCATTATTAGATTCGTAATGTTCGCAACAAAGAAAAACCATTACTAAGGCGCAAATCAGAATTGCCGCAGGATTCGGAACTGTAAGGGCTTTAAGTGAGCATCGAAGAGCCGATGAATATCTAACGACTCCACCTCCTGATAGTAACCATTGCTAGGAGGTATACATTCAAATATGACTCTTATAAAATTTTATAAAAACTAAAAACGATTTGAAGAAGTCAATTCTAATATGTTTGGTTTTTTACAGCGTGTGTCTGTTATGATAGCCCTGCACCTGATTAATATTTCATGATGCAAATATATATATATATATATATATATATATATATATATATATATATTAGGGTGGTCCTTGAAATGGTCATTTTAGAATTTCCTTGCTCCCAGGAGCTCAAATGGTTCCACATTGATAAAAAACAATTCTCTGAAAGATTTAGCTCTTAATATTAACGTTTAGATAGAGCGCAATTCAATCAAAGTTTTGTATGGAAAGAGCATGGAAAAAATTTTGAAAATTAAAAAAAAAGTTTATTTTTATAATGAGTTTTATTTATTCATTTGTTCGCTAAATTATATCTAAAAAACATTTTAAGGTTTTTGAAAAATTTTCCATGCTATTTCCATACAAAACTTTGATTGAATTGCGCTCTATCTAAACGTTAATATTAAGAGCTAAAACTTTCAGAGAATTGTTTTTGTCAATTTGGAACCATTTGAGCTCCTGGGAGCAAGGAAATTCGAAAATGACCATTTTAAGGACCACCCTAATATATATAATTATATATATATATATATATATATACATATATATATGTATGTATATGTGCGCATTTCAAGTGTTTTAGGGTCATCATGAAGTATTCCTAACAAATATCAAAATATATAATTATATTTGAAAATTTACGTAAAATGTTATATGTTTAGTATTTTATAATATTGACTTCATTTTCAAACATATTGTTCATTCATCAAAATCAATTATAATATTTAGTAATCATATTCAAATTATATATTATATATTGACTTTCAAATATTGCATTTGTTGTAGAGTTTTGTTTTCTAACTTGTTTTTTTTTGGTTACTGTAATATAGAAAATTGTTTTATGATCACATATATTTCTGAAAAATTAATCGGATTATATGAATTTATGAAACAGTATCATTTTAATTCCAAACTAAATGATGAAGTTATCTTCATCTAATATTAATTATAGCTTTATATAAAGTCGTTTCTGTAAATATATGTATAAATTAGAATTGTTAAATTATCACAAATACAAATGAAACAAAAACTATTCTTATATTAACATAATTTGACATTATTGTTTTGATAACTTTGTATAATGTGCAATAGTATGTAATGTAGTTTTGTTACTGTTTATATAGATTTATAATATCAATCTCATTAAATAAAGAAAGATCTATAGATCACAATTTCTATAAAACAAATTTTTAGTTTTTTTTTTAACTTCTCATAGGGTAAGTTATTGTAATCGTCCAAAGATGGAAATGGAAAATTTTTACATATCTTCACGTTTTGAAGTTTTCTGAACATTTTGGCATACCTCAGAAAAAATTGATGTGTGTGTGTATAGGTACAATTTTTCGTTCACGTTTTCGGGGCGCACCGATCAACCGATTTGAATGATTCAAAAAACATTCGATTTCTATTGATGTGTGATTAGTTTTTGGAGAAAAACGAAGAAAAGAGTCGGCTTCGAATGATCCAAAAAACATTCAATTCGTAATTACGGGGAGAAGTGTTGATTAGTTTTTGGCAAAGGCGGGTCCAGCCGTTTCGGAGATACCGAGCTAAATTTGCAAAAAATGGCATTTTTGAGAGAGCTAAGCGTCCGGTTTGAATGATTCAAAGAACTTTCTGCTTGTTTTAACAAAATAATCACTTTTGGAAAAAAATTATTTGTTTCAATTTTTTTTCAAATTTTTTTTGTTCCAGCAACTTGCCTCTAGACACGATGCCATGCACCACCAGTTCTTTCCTTTTATTTAAACGTCCATGTCAGGAGAGTTTTTTTTTCTTACATAAACTTGCAAGTAAAAATCATTGTACGTATCATTTGACACTTTTCGTGAGCCTATAATACTTTACTCTTTTACATAATTTTAAGTTTTCCTGAATCTGTTTAGCAATGATGGGTACTGGTAAGTACATCCTCAAACATTTTTCCAAATATTTCATTTCTGAAGCGTCTTGAAATGTTGCTGGTCTGTCACTATCTCCAAAGATTTTGTCCAGTTCTTGGATAACACGATCCTAAATAGAAAAAAATTATATATATATATATATAATATATATATATATATACCTGGATGTGTTGATGGATTCCCAACAAAGACAAGAAGAAACTGCTGCCTGCAGCAGTCGTATCGTCTCCCTAAAAATTTAAAACAATATTTTATAAAATTTAAAACTGGAAAAAATAAACATGTTATTTATTGTTCACTACATTGTTCTATTGTACTATTTATTGTTCATATATATATATATATATATATATATATATATATATGCTTTGGTTTGTTGTCTATGAATTTGTTTCGATACTTGTAAAATTTTGTACATGATGGTGACTATTAAGTATAATTCTTATCATAGTTAATAAGTTCTAGCAAAATCTAAAGTAAGAGGTATATACTAAGAGCCCTTAAGAATATAGTTAATGATGAATACTTGTATATTTTATAAACCTAAATAAATGCCATTAATATCTACTGATTCGGATATTTTTATTATTAGTTTTATATTTCAGGTCTTGGATAATTATATATTATATTTCAAATTCTGTATCAATTAATCATCAAGGTTCCAGTTATTTTTTTAATTAAGATAATCTTTTAATTCAGATATAATTTATTTATCGCAAAAATCAAATCATTCACTAATTATGTACTTTTATGAAAACTGATAATTTAAATTACCATATATTTGAATTTCGCGCTTTAAATTGCACAAGAGGTGACAGCCATTCTGACACATGTTGACAACTTCAATGCCACTCGATTGTCAAACAGATTTTCGTGAATTAACATGTGCTAGGGTTAATTAACGTTTTTTTTTAATTAAATCCTTGATTAGTTTTAATTAATTTATGCATCAAAACGTGTAATTAATTCAGTAGATCATTTTGATATAATAAATTTATCGTGAAACGTTAATTAAAAGCCGAAAAAATGGATATGTGTGGAGGTGCCTTGAATAGTTTGATAAGTGTCTCTTTCAGGGTCTCCATTTTGAATCAATTTTATTATTAAACAATTCATTCACAGCGCCAATGTATCCTTTAATTATATACATGCAAATATCAATAGTATAATTTATATATGTGCTTTTGTAGGTTATTAATTCATTTACAGCGCCAGTGTATCCTTTATTTATATATATGCAATTGTAATGTATAATTTATATATATATATATGCTTTTGTAGCTTATATTTGAGTACTTCCAACACATATCTCTTTATATCGAATTCTAAATTCACGAAAGTCTCTAATGTAAGTCGTGTGTCGTGTATTGTGTAAAGACTTTACTCGGACAATTGCAACAGGTCAAATTGACTTGTAAAAGACTTAAAGTTATGCAGTGGTTCTAAAGTAGTGATTTTGTGTCGAGTACTTGAGATTTCTGGCGGATGCTCTAGAGGTGGTTTGTGTATTGGATTTGTGTTCTGCGAGCTGCTATAGAGGATATCGAACAATGTAAGTGCAAAGCATGTTTTATACAAAGCGAGTCAAAGGATATATTTCTGGAATTATATACAGGCATTTATCGTACCATATCTGTTGTGCCTATAGTGTTTTAAATATTCAATATTTAACTTATGTATATATATATATATATATATATATATATATATATATATATGTGTGTGTGTGTATATAAATGCATTAGGTTTTTCTGAGTTTTGAATTTAAAGCAGTCAAATAATTTTGAAAATCTTTATTTCGATACATTATTGTTTGTCATCTCCAATAAAACTATGATTTGAATAGAAATAAATAAAAAGAGAACAGAGTTTACAATTATTGACCGACTTTGTATTATATGCTACTTTTATGCTTGTAATAATAACACTTTTTATTAAATATGTATTTAATGCTTGTTTTTCATATTAAATGAAATGAATAAATGAAAATTGATTGGAAGATTTTTTGAGAACTTGTCCCTTTGTTATCCGATATCATTTATAAGGCAGCCTGTATATATTTTAGTGGAATATTTTCTGGCTCGTGCATTATTAATATAGTTGTATACATATTCTGCTGAAAATATTTTTATATTATAATAATTGAGTCAATATCATTCTTTCAATAGGGTGTACTTTATTAATTTTTAATATAATACATAAAATACATTTTTTTTTTGTTAATTCATCAACAACTATTATGCTAATGAAAGATTTTAAAATAATTTGGCAGACATGTGTGTAAAAGATGTTGTTCTTATTTAATTTGCTATGGGGAAAACATGTTGATTCAGTTTTTTTTATTTATTTATACAAGTGCCTTTTATGAATTCTTTTATTCTATAAATAACACTATTTTGTGTAGATTTCAGAATTCTTATACATTAAATTTTTGTTGCTAAATGATTAGTTAACCAATACAGCTTTTTGTATGCTTCGATTACTTATTTGTTGAAGGGGCCCTAGCACCTTACCTTAAGTAACTCCTAAATTGATGGTATTTTGTTACAAATTACAAGTTACAAATTTACTTTGTTACAAAAATCTCTTTTTTATTACACCCCTTGTTCATTATTATACAGAAAAAATATTTGTATTTGTATTTGACATTTCCGGTATCAAGAATCATGTGTTTTTCCCAAGCGATATTGACTGCATGAATATTCTTATTTATGGATAACACGATTGTGTGGTTTTGATCAAATTCTTTCAAATATCTAATTGAATTGACTTACCAAATTGTTAATTAGATGCAGCTTTAAAAGTCTTTTACTGTAGTTTTATTTTAAATTTATTCAATTATATCGCTGCATAGCTAAATGATAGATTTTTATTCTTTTATTGCTAAAAACCATTTTGATCAAGACATACAATCAAAGTTTCAAAGAGTTGACTTGAATGATTAGACAAAGTTTAATTTTGTTTACAAGTTTATTATTCGATTCAAGTTGTAAAAATTATTTAACTCAATTTCTAAATGATAACAATCAGCTTTATAACAGTTTTGAAGTTTTTAATGTTCAAGTTTTTGAACATTTTTTATTATTTCATTTTACAAGTTTTATTAATTTTTTTTTTTTGGCTTTTTCCAATAATTTGTATATTATTCAAGTCAGCTATATTTGTTTTTTTGTCTCGATTAATTGTAAAGGTTTCACATGTTTTATCAAGTCGTATAAACAATTTTGATTCGATTAATATCATTTCATTTCATCGATTAATTAAATAATTCTCTCGAATAATTTTTTTTTCTAAGTCCAAATTTTCTGATTTAATTTTTCGAATAATTTTTTTTTTTTTAAGTCCAAAATATCTGATTATAATTTTTTCGAATAATTTTTTTTCTAAGTCCAAATTTTCCGATTTTAATTCTTTCGGATATTTTTTTTTTCTAAGTCCTTTCAGATAATTTTTTTTTCTAAGTCCAAATTTTCTGAAACCTTTTCAATTAAGACAGACGAGTTATTTATGCATGCTGTATTATCCCAAAGCCAACATTCGAATGAATGAGGCTCACATTGAATATTTCACAACGAGAAAATTTTATTGGGGCAAAGTTAAATATTTTAACTAAGTCCCAGTAATTTTTTCTCGTTGTGAAAATTTCAACGTGGACCTCATTTCATTCGAGTGTTGGTTTTGGGAATTGGTGTGAGGGAACACTAAAAAACATAAAAAAGTTTCAACGCTGAACAGAAAAGAGAAAAATTGACCTGGGACTTAGGGGGGTTTTTTTTAGGCTCTCCACCTCCCCCCTTCCTCCTCCTCCTCCTCCTCTCACCCTTTTTTTCCTTTTTTTCCGCTTTTTTCACATTTTTTTCCTTTTTTGGTTTTTTTTTCGCATGTTGTGGTTTTTGGGTAGATTTTTGGGTTCGGCATGCATCTTCCGCAATGTGTCTCTCTGCGTGTAACCTCTCGCATCATGGACCTCAGGTTGACCATCACTTGGTGTGTTCGTTTCAGGACCCTTTGCGCTCGCCAACAGCCAGCCACCAGCACTGCTCCATTTTTTCTGCTTCAGAGTTCCATGTCGTCGCCTTCAGCTGGATTCGATCCGTCTCACCTTGTGCCTGCCTCCAGAGCGATTTCACCGAGTATGCGGTCACTTAAACCGCTCGGCTATTTAAGTTATTGATGATAAAAGTTATTTTTATTCCTATATTGTATTAATATTGAATTTTAATAAAGAATATGTATCATACACATCTCTCTTATTCATCATCTGCCTCTACCCCTCTCTTTCCCCAGTTCTTCCTCTACTTTTTTTTTTTTTTTCTTTTTATGTATCTCTCTTACAGTCAAGTGCGAACCTTGAATTTTTCAGAAATATTCTAAGTGTCAAGGTCGAAATGCGACACCTGAATTTAATATTTTGAACTAATATTTGATAATTATGAAAAACTATACATTCGATTTTTTGTGCCTCTTCTGGAATCGAACCGAGACACGCTGAGCAATCTTAGTGGTCACTTAACGATCTCGGCCAATTGGTTACATGAAACCGCAGTCTTTTTTAAAAATATAAAGTGTTATTTTCAAACTGAAAGATATAAGTTTCCTAAAAATGTTGTATGCCGAATGTGCGAATGGCCGAGGTCGTAAAGATGATACGGTTTATGCCAGAATGACAATTCGAGGTTTGCAAGTTCGAACCCCATTTGACTGAAAAAAATATTTGGAACCAATAATTTTCAAACTGTGTAAAAAATAAGACATTTAGATAGAATTAAATTTATTGAGTGTCAGTATTACAAAAATCGACATATATATATATATACGCGTGTATATATATATATATATATATATATATAAAAGATAAGAAAAAGTAGGAAAAAGATAATTTTAAAAATTCATTTTACGCCTGGTTAGCAGTAAACAAACCTACTTTGGTGTAATTTAAAAATCTCATTATTTTTTCGATAAAAAGACAGTCTATCAGGAGCAGCCAAAATTGGCCAAAATCGTGACTTTCAAATGCAATTTTAAGGCACTTAATGAATGAAATTAATAATTTTAATTAATGCTTTGTGTAGACTAAAGTACAATCTTTATACCAAACCAAAAAAAATACAAATTTATAATCGTCTTCATAGTTAAAATCAGCTTCAAAGTTGGCAATTTTTCAAACTTCAATTTGGCACCAAGGGCAGAAGAATTTTTTTTTCCAAAAACTATTTTCATATTCGGAATC